GCTGGTGGCCCAGGAGGGTCTTCGAGGGGTGAAGAAGGCAGTAGTGTGTGTATTTCTTATCTTTTTCTATCTAAGTGTCTAAATACATGTGTGTTTATATATTTGCATATAAATATATGTGAATTTATATGTCTATATTTATACACATGCGTGTATTTTCTCAGCAGGGCAGCTCCCTGGGCCGTTCTCCGGTGCACGGAGCACGGGGTGCGCAGAGAACCCTCCCCTGATCCTCGGCAGTCCCTCAGGTGCAGCCCTGAGCCATGTTCGGGTGCCCCATCCTGGGATTCGTTCCCTGTTTTCCTTGGTCCTGGGGCACCTCGAGCTGGGCGCTGCGAGGGCGTTTGCCTGCGGCGTGAATGAAATTGGTTTTTGGCACAAACAAGTGCCACCGAGAAGTGGGACGTGATGCACGTGCCAGGGAGCTGCCTGAGGATGTGGGACAAAGCGTCCCCTCGCTCCGGGAGGTTTAAGTGCTGTTTCTTTGTGTTTCTCTGGAGCTGCTCTGCCCTGGTGCTGGCTCGGGGCGCTGAGCCCAAAACTGGCATGGGGTAGTGCACTGGGATGGGATGCACCACATCCCATCCATCTGTCCTCTGAGCTCGGATTAAATTGCAAAGCCTTATTCAGAAGGAAAAGAGAACCTTGGAGAGGTGATGCAGAGAGGATGCTTGAGCTAACCCTGCCCTCTTTGGTGAGGAGGAGTTTGGGGTCCCCCCCATTAACCAGGAGGAATTTGGGGGTTATTCTTTGTCTTTAAACACCAGGTGCTTTCCTGACGCACCCCATCTCTCCTAGGTCAGCATGATCCCGGGGCACGGGCCGGTGATCCAGTCGGTGCTGGGGACCTTCCTGACCTGGGGGCTGACAGCAGCTGGCTCGGCGCTGGTGTTTGTGTTTTCCAGCGGGCAGGTGAGTGCCAGGATCGTGCCCTCTGTCCCCAGGAGGTGACTGGGTTCCGAGGAGCGCCATGATGTGCTCGCAGGTGGGTTTGGCTGAGTGGTCCCAAGTGTGAGGAAATTGAGGTTGGCCCTGGGAGGTCCTGGGGCAGGAGGAGGAAAAATCCAGCTCATTTCTCTCCCGTGTGTCAACACAGAAGAGGAGAAGGAAATCAGATTCCTGTCCCCGGGCTGTGGTATGTGCTGTAGCACAGCTCATGGTGTTCGGGAGATGGGGCACAGCCGCAGGCAGGGCTCTGCGTTTGGAACAGCAGGTTCTCCTGTAACCTGGTTTGGCTGCCGTGTCTCCAGTGCAAGATTTGGGTCAGCCTATGCTCAGAACAAGCAAAGTGCAGGTTGTTAAGTCATCTTGTATTCCAAAATTAGAGGCTCCCCTTGATGCTGTGTGCAGAATTGCCCGGATGAATGTATTATTTATGCCTCTCTCTTCTGATGATTTATTCAGGAGTTTGTTGCAAAGTGAGATTCCCTTTGCAGTTGCACGTTAGTTTTTCTTTCTGGGGGAGGGTGACGTGCTACAGAAGAACAACTGCCCTGGAAGTGAAGTGGGCAGGGTATGTGCTGGGTTAGTGGAAGATGAGTGACTGACTTTGTAGCAGCCTGTTTAGAAGGATCACAATCTTCGAGGGGAGGAAATGCAGGGCAGCGTGCCCTGGTGATGGGGGGTGCCATCACCCCAGGGTGGTGGGCTTCCCTGCGTGGGGAGCGCGGCTCTTGCCTCGAAGCACGGAAACCACTTGGGCTGCAGAGTTGGGAAGAAGGAAGTCGCATCCGTGTGGCAGCGGGGCAGCTTCCCCTGTGCACGGTTTGTGGTGGGGCAGCACTTTGCTGCTTCTGCCAGGAGTAAATGGTGTGTTTTGTGTGTGTCTTTGTTTTGTTTGTTTGTTTTTTTGCAGAGGCGGATCCTAGATGGGAGCTTAGGCTTTGCTGCGGGGGTAAGTACAGCATCCTTCTACTCCACGTCTCTGCCTGCGTTCTCCTGCTGACACCTCCGAAGCCCTGCCACGCTTCGTTTGGTTGCCTGCTCATGTTAATGTTTCTTGAATAATTGTCTGAGGCGCAGGTGGGGCAGAGAAGAGCACGGTGCGGCGCTGGTCATGCCTTGCCATGTCTCCGTGCCTCTTGGGTGAGGGTGGAGGTGGCACGAGGCAGGACACGAGGATGTCGAGCTGCCCATGCTGGATTTGGCTCTTGAGTTAAACTCTTCTCGCTTCCTTGGGCTTCTGAATCATTCCTCCTGGAGCGCTGGTGCGATGAAGATGAGCAAGAGAGCCCTTGTCTTGGAGGCTGATATGTGTAGCTTGCTTCGTGCTTCTTGCTCTCCTCTCAAGGGCTTAAAGCACCCACGCTCTGCAGAAGGGGGAACAAAGACAGCGCAGCTCTACGTCAAGGGTGTACAGTAAACGTGGGGCTTATTGCATCCTTCTTGAAGGAAGACATGAAACTGTGTGGCTTGAAATTGTGTTGGGGCTTGTGGATGTAGACCTTCTCCTGCTGCCCGGACTCTGGGCTGATGCGGAGCAGGTGGAGGCTCGTTGGGACCCGATGAATCACACTTGTTTTCCTTCAGGTGCTGTTGTGTGCCTGGAAGGTGACCCAGGGGATGTGTTCTGGGTGGGAAGTGCACCTGCCCAGGGCATGTGATGGGTGTGCTGGGGCACAGGGCTCTTCCAGGTCCCGCTCGCTGTGTCCCAGCTGGGTAGCTGGTACCTGGGGTGTGGGCAATGCTGCCAGATTTTGGGGTGAACCACGAGCCCAGCAGCATGGGTGATCTGTCCTGCAGCGTGCAGTAATGCTGCTTGTGCCGAAGCTGTGCGTGGAGTGAGACTCCTTCTTCCCTGTGCACCCCCAGACGCAGCAACGCGGCTGATTGAGGTGAATTTTGACTGTTTGCAGCTCTGGAGATCACAGATCTTCTGTGCCTGAAGCAAACCCAGCTGCACCGAGCAAGAGCCTGCCATGGTGGGTGATGTGAAACGCTGCAGAGCTCGGTTTGCTCCCTAGCAAGCTTTCCTGGAACGTGTCTGCGACCTGTTAATGATGTGAATAATTCAAGTCATCTGTCGTAGCGGGTTCTCGGGCCATCATTTATAAATGAATCGCTTGCGTTAGGAATTGCTCATTCTGGAGCTTTCCTCTGTGGTTGGATTTCTGAGCTGTTTTTCTCTGGAAGACACACTCTTGTCCCTGCAAGCCGAGTCAGAGCTACTTGTGTGGTGTTGGGGAGATTCTGCTGGGGACAGCACGGGCTGGGCTGTCCCTGTGCTGTGGCATTGCTGCCTTCCAAAGCAGCCAGTGGGACCATCCCATCGCTGGGGAGGTACTGGGGCATGGTGGGGTGTTTGCCCTGGCACGGTGCAGTGCCATCCTTGCCACAGCCACTGCGTCACCTTGCCAGGAGCACTGAGTCATCCCTGTGTGCAGAGGTGTGGCTCAGCGGGCGAAGCAGAAGTCCTGTGAACGCTTACTTGTCCCCCAGCTTCTTCCAGTTTGCTGTGCTCGGGGTGGGAAAGGGGAGTTTTTTTCTGCCTTGGTTGCTGCAGTGTCTGGAGGGGAATGTCAGCGAGGAAACCGGCGGTGCCAAGGTCCTGCTGGCAGAAGGTGCTGCCACATAAACCGCCCGCGAGCTGCGATTCCTGAAGGTTTCTAGGCTGCGTTTTTGAGCCTGAGCTGCCGAAGCAGATGCTGGGGTGAGCTGCCTGTGTCACCTGCAGCCCTGCCCTGGCACTGCATGGCCAGGACCGGCTCTTTCGGAGGAAGATGGCAGAGATCCACGGGTGATGATGCCATGGTTGCTTCTAGGGCTGCTGGGCTCGCTGGGAGCGGGTCCTTGCTCAGTGGTCGAGTCTTTGGGTGGCAGCGATGTGGCAAAAGCACCAGGGGTTGGAGCTTTTATTGTCCTTTTTGCTTGGTGTGCTCCAGATGTGCCTGTAGCATCTGCCAAGGGGCTGGTGTATCCCCTTCCGAGGGCTGCGTTCGACTCCACATCCTGGCGTGTCCCCTGGGCAGCATCCCAGGGCTGGGAAGGGATTTGCTCGATGTTACTCCCAGGCAACAGGATCCCCCTGAGTTTTTAGGAGAGTTTTTCTTTTCCCAGCTGGCCAATGTTGTAATGGCCTGACTGGCAGTGTGACCAGCTATGTCTCTGTCTTATCCTTACCTGAAAGGGTTTAATAATGGGAGAAGTGTTTTCCTCCCTCTCTAGACAGGGAAAGTGCTAGTGCTTGGTGGCTTTGCGAAGAGTCCATGGAGAAGCTGGAGGAGAAACCACCTCCTGACCCAGCCCGTGAGCAAGAGGGACCGTGGCCGACTCGCAGGTCCTGCACGCGGGTGGAAGTGGGACGGTGGAGACGGGACGTGATGCTGGGCTGAGCAGGTGACAAGCCTGAGCCTGGCTCTGCTGGGAGAGGGGACCCAAATGGGCTGTGAAGTCCTGGCTGGCTGGGACCGGGGGCTGTTCCTGCCTCATCCAGCTCGTGCTGCAAAGCCAGAGTCAGGGGAAGCTCAGGAGCAGGGCAGGCTCTCTCTGCTTTGGCAGGCTGGCTGCGTGTAGGGGAAAAGGCAGGATGTGGAGCAGATGGTTTTAAAACCTATTTCTACTGTTTTCTCCCTCTTCCTCCCTGTAAGACGTGTTTCTTCAGACAGCGACGTTGCTCTGATCGTGGACTACTTGCTCTAAGGGATTTCTGTTTAAAACACTGTCTTTGATGTAGATCTCTTGCAGATCTGTATGGTCTGTTTCTCTGGGCGCTGGGGTGGAGAAAGGCAGAACTGAACTTCCTCTTTATCTCTGCTCTGTGATCTGGGCTGCTGGGTTTCATTAAACTTCCCTTGTGCTCTGTCAGACCCAGCAAACCTCCTTCTGTGCTTTTGGAGGCAGGTATTTCTTCTAACTTTGCTGTTTTAGTGCTTGGCTTGTGATCCCTGGTAGTCATCTGGATACCAGGGAGCGGGTATGGTGCTCTCTGAGACCAGGATCGTGGGTGAAACAGGGTATAATGGATGGTTTTCTCTCCTGGTGGTAAGGGTTTACCTGCTCGTCTTCTGAGAGCTTGCAAAGTGAAATAAAACCAGGATTAATTAAAGTTTCTCCACTGCTGACAAGCCAGAAGGAGGACATGGAACAGGGATCTCTAGGCGGCCTCGAGGAGGATGGTCTGGGACATTGAGTGTTAGTTTGGGATCCAGAAAGCTGCAGCTCGGTGCTGCCTTCACTGCAGATACGCCATCTGATCCAGGAGGAGCTGGTGTAAGCCTGGGCACATGGTCAAATTGCTGTGCCCTGAGCTAGGACATGCTGGGAGAGCTGTCTGTGTGTGCTGGGAGCATCCTGACAGCAAAGCAACGTGCCTTTTGGTACTGCTCAAGCTGGCCACGTCTGATGGCACAAGTGTCATCTCGGTTGAAGGGCACCCATGTGACTGGTCGCTGTGGCACTGGAGAGCTCAACTTCTTCCAGCCTGGTACCTCCGCTCCGGTGTCTGAGTGTTTAGCTTCTCTCTGCCTCAGTTCCCTTTCTGGAAATTGTGGATAATAGAGGGTTTTGTATGTGAAAGCCTCCGAGGTGATGTGTTTCTATGGAGACAAGGCTTTGCTTGCTTGGGCATCTGATGTGGAATTCTGGCTTTTCTCTTAATCTTGATATTCTTAAATAAGACCTTTTTTTTAAGATTGTTCTCTGTTATCTCGGTGTTGTCTGGGAGGTGCTCTCAGACATCATAAACACTCGCGGTCTCCCTTCCCTGCAGCCTCCTGTGGCTATTCCTCCTACTGGGTTGCAGTTTGATTCCTTCTTCTGTCCCAGGTGAAGCAGAAAATCATAAAGACACGCTCTTTAAACTGCACCAGGCACGTCTGCATTGAATATTCCCCTTCAGTGCTGCTTAAAACAGCATTGGTAATTTACACAGCTCTACTGAGGCTGCTGCTTGTTCTTGGAGCCTTAATGAAGTCAAGCGAAAAAGTTTGGCAGGGAAAGCGCCCTGCCAGTCTCTCACCTTCCACTTTTCTTTCCCGTCCTGCCAAGGGGATCTTCTTCGCTCCGAAGTGGCTTTGGTTTTCGATTAAAGCAGCCGTTTCCCTCGAAGCCGCCGTTCCCATCTCATCCCGCAGGATTGCGGTGAGAGGCTGCCAGCTTGCACTGGATGAGACGAGAGGGCTTTAATTTTCATTTTAATGCGATGGTGTGGTACCAGACTTGGATGTGCAGGGACCCTCCTCCTCGCCCTGGGGTCCAGCAAGGCCAGCTGTGTTTGGGGACAGTTTATTGCCCTGTTTGCTCTGTATTTGCAGGAAAAAAGCTCCTGCGTGGGCTGGGCTGGTGCTGGCTCCATGGTCTGCGTGGGGAGGAGTGGTGGGTACCGCAGCATTTGGGAGAGCCCGGACTGGGCACCCACATCGAGTCCCTGCCTGGAAGGAGATGCTGGTGCCCAGGGGTCAGCGATGGAGACCAGTCAAGCCCTGGGAGAGGTGTTGGGGCACAGTGTGGTTGTAAATCCTGCTGCCTGGCGTGTTTCAAATGCTTCCCATCAGCCTGAGGACACAGACCTGGGTTGTCGTTTTCTGTGGTTTGAAGCAGTTGGGTTTTGAGCCTGGGTTTTGTCTCTGGTTATGCTGATGTATCCCAAGGAAACGTTTGAGCTCCCCTCAACCCAGGGATGCTTTAGATATGCAGCTGCCTTCTGCGTGCTTTCTCCTCCCCCATCAACTGCAGCTTGTTTTCCCAAGAGCTGGTGGATTTATGACGTTGTTGCACCTTGGCTCTGGAGCACGAAGTCTCTTTGCAAAGATGTCCAAACCTGGTTTGGCAGGAGGTGTGTGTCCTGGTGCCAGCGAGCTGGTGTGCTGTGGGTCCCCTGCTCCCCGTCCTGGCTGGGCTGATGCGATGGGAAGGCTTCGTGCAGAAAGTCGTACCCTCTGCCGAAGTGGCTTCATGTTTTATTGATGTGAGGAGAGCCCAGGCAGGCTTTTTCTCTTTTATTCCTGCCTTTGACACCAGCTTGGTGACATTGGTGGAGTTTGGATTCCTGTCCCTGGCTGGACAATTACAAAGATTTGAAACGGTGTAAATTTTGTTACTTAGATCAGATCGCTGGCAGAAATCCTCCCCCTTTTGTTAGCTCATGAGCATCACCTGATAAGGGACGGATGCTGCACCAGAGGGGTAAGTGCCAGCTCTGATGCAGAACAGGGTGGGCAGGACCTTGGCTGCTCCCAGGCAAACCCATGTCCCTAACCCCACACCTGAGCTTGGTGCTGGGCTGCGGGGAGGCACGGGGACCTTGTCCCTCCTGCTGGCTGCTGCAGGGCAGTGACTTCCAGCTCCCCCATCAAGTGGGGTCAGAGAGGGGGTTCCTTTGTGTAAAAGGGTGTGGGAATAAATCACTTTTCCTTCCCAAGCAAGTGAGGTTGGATGGTGCAGCCCTGCAGTTTGCTCCGTCAGCTGATGAGGCTGGGGTGGCTTTAAGCTCCGTCATCTTCTTCCCCCGGAGCCCCTTTATGGCAAAGCTGGTGGGAGCTTCGTTGCTGACTTCGGTGGTGACGGGGATCTGGAGGCTGAGCTGTGTCAGGCCTCTGTTTTCCATGGGGAAATGATATCTTAACATAAGATGACAATATAATTCTGCAAAGCCTTTCCCTGTTGCTTGTATTTCCATGTTGGGGTGTGTGGTTGTTTTTTAAAGGAGGTGGCATTTGAAATATGAAGTTTGACAGCCGTGGTTAAGCCTGACATGACAGCCTGCTTTCTTCTTACTCATAGTGAGCTGAGGTTTACACAATCCCTCAGGGACTGGTGTCTACAGCAATAGGCATCTCATTCCTTTGTTAAAAATGATTTAAAATGTAGTAGTTTGTTACGCACTTCTCTTTCATGGGTGAGTGCTCGTGCTGTGAGAGTGAGCTGAGCCTCATCTCTGCTGAGCATCCTGCCAACGGGACCTTGGGGGGCACGGGGGGTTGCTGAACGGAGAGATGGGGGTCACCTTTCCTGACAGCATCCCTCCCGCTGCTGTCTCTGGGATCAGTTCCTGCTGGATCCTGATCCCACACCCCTTTCTCAGTTGAAAGCTCCCCTTTGATGTGCTTCCCTTCGGACTCGGAGAGAGCTTGGAGCATCGCCTTGTCCACCCTGAGGCGATGCAGACCCTGCCCACCCATGGCAGGGCAGCGGGTGCCCCTGCTTCCCTGCCCCTGCTGGTCCAGGGTGGTTCCCAAAGCCTATTACAGATCTCAGGGTGATTTTTAAGCCCAACCATGCTTCTCTCGCTGACTCGCTTCCTCCCAGCGTGTGATGGGACCCGTCCTCCAAGCTGGTCGCAGCTGAGCTCCCATGGAGCTGAACGGCTGCAGGGAGAGAAACCAGGGCCAAGGCTGCTGCTGAGGGTGTTGTGCTGGGCTGATGGCTTTTTAATTAACCCAGCCCAGTACGTCTGGCAGCAGAGGGGAGGAAGAGATAAGGTGATAAAATGCACAGTAATATAATATTCTTTAGTATAAGCTTGTGAAACCGGTGCCTTGCTTGGCTTTCTGTTCTCTACACCGAGTAACACCCTGAGCAACCAACTCTGAACAGGGCTGGAGATCCCCGTAAGTCCCAAATTCTGTTTTTCTGCGGTCTTTTTTTTGGGTAGCTGTTCCTTCTCCTTCCCTGCTAAGCAGCAAGCAAGGAAAAAAGCACTCTGCTACTTGAAAGGCTTATTTTCCTGGTGCAAACTGTGTTGGTGAAACACTTTGGTAGCGCTGGTCTGTGCTGGGAGCTGGCATATTGCTGTTTGGGATGAGAACTTGTTCTCCTCCCAGCCTGGGCGCTCTGGCTTGGATGTTGGGACAGGAGCGATCCGAGCGTTGGTCCGTGCAGAAGCAGAGGAGTTGCAAAGCCTTCGTGCCGTGGTCGCCTTGGTCCGGGGCAGCGAGGTGGGAACCTTGGCAGCTAAACCACAGCGTGGCAAAGCTGAGGTGTGCCCTCAGCTGGCCTGGAAATGGTGCTTTGGCTCCAGGCGTTATCCAATATTTATTCTTTTCCTGCATGAGATCCCAGCTGTGTTTTCCTTCCTCCCCTGCCCGCTCTGCGGAGAAGCCCAGAGCTGGGTGCAGGTAGGATTTGGTTCACGGTGGCTTTGGCTGGGGCGAGGTGGCCGGTGGGGACATGGACCCACTTGTGTTGCTGCAAAACACCCGAGGGGAGGGCGGTTTTTCTGCTCCTGTGCTGCTGCCATTCCCATTTGAAGGGCTGTTGTGGCTCTGCTATTCCCACAGAAAATCACCCCAATGAGCTCGTGTGGTTCACGTGCTACCTTGGACTTTTGAGCCCAGAAAAGCACCTTTGGTGAAAACAGGGGGGAAAAAAACCTCACTTCTCCATCCTTCAGTGATTTGTGCTGTCGGGAGGTGGGTTTGGTGGCTCTGCTGGGTTACAGCAGCCACGCAGCCCATGGTGGTGGGCGTAGGGGTTTCCTTGGCCAGAGGGTGGGCTGGTGCTGGTGGTGCTGGTGTCAGGTCCTCGCGGCATCGGTGCCTACGTGGTTCTCACCGCTCCCCTTCTGTCTCCCAGGTCATGCTGGCAGCTTCCTACTGGTCCCTCCTGGCCCCAGCTATCGACATGGCTGAGGAGTCCGGCAGCTTTGGAGCCTTCGCTTTCTTCCCAGTGGCCGTGGGCTTTGCACTGGGAGCAGCATTCGTGTACTTCGCCGACCTGCTCATCCCGGCGCTGGTAAGTAGGTGCTCCTGGGCTGGGGGGCTTCTGCTCTTCCTTCAACTCTGCCATGACAGAAGCTGGATACAGATTGGTTTCTATCCCGGATTTAATGAAACCCTGTTTTCTCCGAGACCCCGGGTGGCTTTACCAGTGCTGAATGCAGCTTCAGGCTGTCTGAGCTCTTTTTTTCTTCCTTTTCTCTCTCTTTTTTTTTACCTTTCATGCTTCTGCGTTTGTTCTTTTCACTGGCAACACTTTGCAAACAGTTCAGGTGTGACCTTCTGTTTCAGCCTGAAGGTTTAATTTTGCAGAGCTGCCAACCCTCTAAGCATTTCAAAATTGAATGAGCCATCCTACTGTCTAAGAGTATTATTAAAAAAAATAAATAAATCAGAAGCTGTTGTATTTTTACAGCTGAAAACAGAAGAATGGCTAGGTTGGTAAATATCTTCAAAAACTTCTGAAGAGCTTTTTAAATCTATTTATTTGAGTGGGAGGAGGGGGTTATCTGTGGTTATGAGTAAGGAGTGTGAGGTTTTCCATTCGAAGAGCGG